ACACGAATTACAGAGGCTCTAGACTCAGCATATAATGGAAGCAGAACAAAGCATCTGCTTCAGACTCCTCCCCAACAAGCTGTATGATATGGGAAGACAGATACTAGTGAAATAGCAATTAGGCGGCCAGCATGCGCTAAGTGCAAGGCGGGAATGTTGGAGAAGGAAGGCACAGCCTTCTCGCCCTGTTCCCCAGCCATTTCAGAATTAGAGGGGTCATTATGACTTTGTCCCACCATTCAGTAGTTCCCCTTAGTGAGAGAAGTTACGGCATGGAGCTCGGCTCTCATGCGCTGTTTAGTTGTTGATGAATTGTTCTTATATAATGTCAGTGGCTACTTTTTAACAATAAAGAACTCTGCTATCTACAGTAGATATTTTAAAATCGTCATCCTAGTCCTGTTGTGCAAGAGGGTGAGGAAGCAGTGACTACTTTTCAGTGAGACCTGACATGGCACAGATACCTTTGGGGCATGAAGAAGAACCTTCTAAGCGTTGGGATTCCAAAATGAGAATACCAAGCTATATTAGCTTGAAAGCACTTTCTAACTACTCAACTGCAAGATGTACAACAAAAGAACAGATAATCATTGTTTCCCTCGTGATGATGAATAGATATTTAAATTTGATGAGAATAAGGAATAGCACATATACAGACTGTTTTATATCTTTCTTTCACACACACACACACACACTCACACACACACACTCACACACAAACACTCACACACACACGAGCATTAGTTCTCTAGCTCCATATCACATACCAAAACCCTCTTTTTTTAAAGATAATGTAAAGTGTCTTATTCTGCCTTTGTAGTGACATGCATATATTAGTACTCATTTTAGAATGAACGAAGTTGAAAATAAATATTTGACACAACTCCAAATAACATAGGGTCAATATAATGGTATATAAACTAGTAGGAATGTTATAAATCCAACCATGCTGCCTTCATCTCAAATCTATATTTGATCCCTCTTTAATGGAAAATTGTGCTTATATATTGTTTATAAATTATTAAACGCCCTGGAGATCAAAATAGCAAAGTAGCCACTCTGGCTAGTAATAGAAGGTAGGTGGCGGTGGTACACACCTTTAATCCCACAAATTGGGAGGCAGAAACACACTGATCTCTGATAGTTCAAGGCCACAATGACTACAGGAAATATATCCAGTCGTAAAGAGAATCATCTCACAAAGGTGATCTCAGCACTTGGGATCACATGCCTTTAAATCCAGGACTCATGGGTTTGTATTTAATACAAGAACAGGGTCTCAGAGTTGGCGTTCCTTCTCCAGCAACAATGAGAATAGGAAAGCATATATTCCCCAGCCACACTGAGGAGAGGCAACAGTCTGAGGCTTGATGAGCGCTCCTGGAGACAGGATCAGCCCTTTCAGGCTGAGGTAGGGGTGAGAGCTAGTAGCTTGGCTGCTTTGATTTTCTGATCTTCGTCTTGAAGCTTGAACCTCAGTATCAGTCTCTGGGTTCTTTGTTTTTCATGCTATAGAAAATATTTTCTGCATATTTTCTACCTATAGGTTTTATACCTATACTGCCTGCCTTCTTTCCTTTCATCCATCTTCTCTTCCTCCTTTCCTCTTTTTCCTTCTTTCTTGGTTTCATTCTTCTTTCTCTCTACTCTCTTCCTTCTTCTGCTCTCTCTCTGTCACTCATTCTCTCTCAATGTTTTACCTGTTCTCTTAATTCATCGCTCTCTGATTCCAATATGAAAGCCATCCGTGTTTGCTATCCTCTTGTTTTGTTATTTTATTATCTCTAGACATGATAGAGGAAGCACATGATAAGGTAGGAAGAGTGTAAGTTGAGATTACTAGTTTTATTTTTCTTTGCAATTTCAGAGCAAGTCATCCCCTATATTTTATACTCAGTGATACTGTCCAAGTATTTCATCCAGAAAAAAATATGTACTTCAAAGAAGGTACAGTTTTTTTTTCTTTCATGCTTGTTGTTTGTTCTCTTAGTGTTGATGAACATAGAAGGAGAAATTTTAAGAAAAAGTAAAAAGGAATATTACTCCCTGCTTATACTGTTGAAATGCCAGTTTCCATTTACAGAAAGTCTTGGCCTTAATAGAAACTGGAATCTCCAAAGGGAGGTAGGAAAGCCTGCACAGCTGCAGCAAGGCTCTGAAAACCCTTCAGCTGGTGCGCTTGTGACTAAAGCCCTCCTGGTTAAGCAAATGTTAAACTAAGGGGGATCTCCTGGCCTAATTTTATCCATTATCCAATTCTTTCTATTCATAATGAGTTTGAATACTACGAAACGCTAACCTTCAATAAGAAAGTATGAGTAGACTTTGAAGCATAGAACCATGCTAATAAGGATTTGGAGGCTATACCAGCTCCGTTTCTCTCCATGTACTGCTTTAATCTTCCCCCATTACTCACCCAGTATTTACTGATACAATTGCTGGCCAGGTACTATGGCAGAAATAATTGCGTCATAATTGCAATGATGATGACAACGGCTATTCATCATTCCCATGCCATCCTTTTCATGTTTATGGCACTTTGTTTTTTAATAATTTCATCCTCAGAACAATGTTGGGGGATAGACACTGCTATTATCACTGCCTTATAAGTGGGGGCAATATTAAGAATATTAAGAGCAAAACAGATTAGTGGAGGTTCCTGGAATATTTTCTACAACCAAGTGCCAAAACAGAAAAAAAAAAACAATAGCTATTTTGCTGGACTGAAAGCTGTATGCAGGGCGCTGTAGCTATGAGGCAGAGATGTTGCTGAGCATGGTGATAGAGATGGCATTGAAAAGAATGGGACTAAGCACAGAGCATCTACTGTAGGATCTTTTGAGATGGACTTTGAATCTAGAAAATCCAAAATCAGTGTAGCAACATTAAGAAGAGAACCACAGCAAGTTCCACTTCATCCAAGCTTCTGACAGTCACTGTTACTGAAGAAGCCTTTATTTCTCACTGTATATGAGCCTAGCTTAGGAATCTGCTGCGGTACTATATCAGTACATAACTAGGCCCTCTGAATGTGGGTGACACTTGTATGGCTTCGGCAGTCTGTGAGGTCACTGGCAGTGGGACTAGGATTTATCCCTAGTGCTTGAATTGGTCTTTTTGGAATCCATTTCTCCCTTTGGAGGCATACCATGTTTGGCCTAGATACAGGGGGAAGGGCCTTGGTCTGCTCAGAGAGGTGTGCCAGACTTCATTGACTCCCCAACCACCCCCCATGGGAAGCCTTACCCTCTCTGAGGAGTAGATGAGGTGGGGGTAGGAGAAGGTAGGGAGAGGGAGTGGTGACTGGGATTGGTATGTAAAATGAGAAAATATTGTTTTAAAATAAAAACAATGTCAAATACAACAACAACAACAAAGAATCATGTTCTCTAAAGGTTTCCAAGAAAAAAACTGGTAGCCTGAGTTAAATGGTGGCTTTTAGGTCAGCCTGGGCTGCATGACACACTGTCTCAAAAGACAAACAAACAAAGAAAAAACAGATAACAACAGAAACAAAAGGAAATTGTCCAGTTTCAAAACAATAATCAAAATAATTATGTTAGGAAATGTCATGAGATACAAAATAATGTAAGTGAACAATTAAACAAAATTAGGAAGAAACATGATTTGAATGAATAGTTCATCAAAGAAACACAAATATATAGGCAAAGAACTCAATACGTGGAATAAAAAAACAAAAGACTACTATGAAAGCACAGAGTTTATGGGGCCACTGACAGTGGATCCAGTATTTATCTATAGTGCATGAACTGGCTTTTTGCAGGGATACCTTACTGAGCCTAGCTACAGGAGAAAAGGCCTTGATCCTGTCCCAAATGATGTGATAGACTTTGGTGATTCCCCATGGAGGCCTTACCCTCTCTGAGGAATTGATGGGGCTTGGAGTTGGGATTACGAGGGCTGGAGGGAGAGGGGACTGGGGTTGGTATGTAAAACAAGATTTTTTTTTAAAGAAAGCAAACAGTGCAGAGTAGAACAAACAGAAGACTGGAAGATAAGACACAACTGTGGGAGATGACTCATCATCTAGAGGGTCAGGAGAAGTGTAATCAGTCTGGACAGGAGCTGAACTGCCGGAGAATGCCTGGTAGGCTGCTGAGCTCTTACAGAGATAAAGACGCTTTGTAGACTGAAAGAGGAGAAAAGTCGTCAAATCTTACCTAGCTGTGGTCTCTATACATTATAATAATTACCTGTCAGGTAAGACAGGCTCACTGGTGCAAGTGTGCCATGGATATTATGAATTTGAAACCCACTCTACTGGAGTGGACAATCATGTCCAGCGATACAAACCTCCATCTCATAGTAAGATCATAGAACCTAGAGGGGAACGGGCTACCGTTATTTTTTCCTAAATGGACATGTTGTCAAACTACATGTTTGTATTCATACTCATAGATCAATGAGAAGTTTCTTCATTCAAATGGTAACTGAATGCAGAAATATATAACTGGGCAAAAATTATGAGATTTATTGCCTGCTGATTGGTAAGTCCTAAGCAGGACATGTCTCTCACTCCTTCTTCAGGAAACATTGTAGAAGAAAGAAATCAAAGAATGTGTAGGGATGCTAAGAATTGCTGTCTTTGGGACATGATATGCTTCTTCTACACAGGAACTCACAGTATTAGTAGTCATTGGGATGAGAACCGTTGACTATTCTCCAATCTTGGGTTTGTATTCTCTATGCCAGTGATGAGAACCATTGTAGCCTTACCAGAGGGGATGCATAAGGCAATTTGCATTTTAAATGGAGAAAGGAATGAGAGTGAGGGCAGAGGAATGACTTATGAGGAACTTTTATCAATCTGGGTAAGAGATAATTAAGAACAGATTGGTGGTTGTTGAATTGAGAAAAGAAAAGAAGAGGCACATTTCATAGATATTTAACAATTAAATTCTCCCCAGTCAGTAAATGGGATGTAAAATCTAGAGGATAGAGAGAGGCAGAGTCAAAAATATGTTTAATTTTGGTTTCTAATTGAAGAGACTTATCTCCACACTTCCTTACAGACTTAACTCTAGGAATCCCCATTATTTGCTTTTATTTTGCTTACACTTAGCTTAGATTTCTATTTTGGCTTTGGCAGCAAAATTATTTTTTAACTAATTGACCCAGGAACCATGCACATTTGGGTTTTAGGAAGCAAAACAGGCAATTCAATCCAAGACCTGATTTCTGTGGTGTGATGGTTGCAGTTGACTGCTCAATGAACAGATGATTCTCCTTTCAAGGTACAGAAACATGATCCCTGTGGTCATATCAGAGACGTCTGAGGATAAGGATCCTCAATCAAAACTTGGTTCCCTCGCACTGAAGAAGAGAGAAACTTCATAAGTGGGGAAATTCCCACTGTGCGTTGAAGTATTGTAACTCATCCTGCAAGAGACAGAATGAAAAGGTGGGCTCAATGTGGGACGTATGCATAAACTCGACATTATTGGGCGTAAAGAAAAGGGGACTCGAGCATACAGTTCTGTCTTGAGTTATCCAAGCTACTCTGCATTGGAGATTCATGGCAAATGTCTGTTTCTCTCCACCTAGGACGGAAGAGGAAATGGGTTTAAGTTGAAGCCGGATCTATTTAGGTGAATTATACTAGAATGCTTCCTGACCTTGAAAGTTATTTGGCTTAGAAATGGATTGTTAAGCTGGGTCAAGGAATCTGTTTCTCCAGAGAGAGAATCAGAAGGATGAAGGGGATTTAGCCAGTCATTTAAGCAGATGAAAATCGATCTTTTTTAAAGACCAAGGCCCCTGAGTAAGAAACTCCATGACTTCATAGGGTGTCTAACAACCCTCACTTTATACTGATGTCTAGCCTGGCATGATAACTTCAAATTATTTCCGTAGTTTTCTCAGCTGAATTAGAAAACAGTTACAGGGACTCTGAACTCCTTTGTCATTTTAAAGGTCAGTCTTAAACCACCAAATAATTCCCTTTGTGTGGCCTTTTCTCATAAGCATTAGAATCTAATCTTCTGTCATAGGGATTTCTGCAGTGAAAAGTCTTCAAAATTTCTTATCTGTCTGCAGTTTTGGAGCCTAAAGTTGGACAGCCTAATCTAGTAAGAATTCCAAATGATGAACACAGTGAATAAAATGCTTGTGAATTTGTTAATAATTTCCTCTTGTTTATGTCATTCAATAGAATATCCTGTTTCATTTTGTGAAAGCAGTTCTGTGTTGAACTGTGTGTGTTCTTCCAATGAGCTTGCTGCATTTATTTCTACTTTTATCTAATTTTCCTTTGATTCTGTAATGTAATTCAATGGCTACAGTAAAATATTCAATAATATCTTGAATGAATCACAATCAATGTTCTAATGAACAAATTTTATGTACCTGTTTGTGAAGAGCTGTTTTGGTCACTTAGGGTATAACATTGTATAGCTTCGCCTTATTTTTTCCATAAGGAAAAACTTCTGCATACTTTAAATATACCACTATATATTCCAACTTGTAGTTTATCATCCTCTCTAATTTTTCTGGAGAATATGTTTGTTCAAGGGTCACATTTTTCTAGTATCTTCACTATTGGGTGTTCAAAGTTATAGAAGTTTATGTTGAAAGATAAAGAAAATTTATTTGATAGATGAAATCTAAGTGTAATTTTATATTCTGCCTCCTACCCGAAAGTTCAGGACTAGCTGTTGGCAAACTCGTTTTTATTTTCTTTTTTCCTATATACACTAGCAGTCATCTGTTTTGTATATATCTCTCTATGTGTGCAATACCTTAAAGCATATAGAACAGCTGAAGTCTTCTAATCTTCTTGGGCCAATATCTCATCCTAAGGACCCATTATCTCTTCTACTTATTATAAGTCATTTTCTAATTTACCTTCTGTTTAACATTTTGACTTTTGCCCCATTTTTTTTCTCCTCTTGATAAACAGAAGGTCTTTAAAAAAAAAAACGTAAGGCAGTGTCTGACATTCTCTTGCTTTTTGTTCTCCTCACTTACGTTCTGGTGACTCCTTGATGGTAAGATGGCTTTAAGGACTGAAGGCTATCCGCTTCTATGGCATTGTCTTCCTATCTGTGTCCCTGGGTTCCAGGTGATTTATGCAAGCCTTGAGTGTTCCATAACAAGACACGGTGTCTAATTCCCACAAACCGATGCCCACAGATGTCTACAGATTGTACTCTCCTGATGTCTTCCTTAGCATGAAGGACAGTAGCTAGCTGGCTCTAGATCCAGAACACTGTGGAGACACACTTATGGTCCATGTTGCATGTTTTCTTCAGTCTTGGTGTAGAGCTGATACTGCGTTGGGGGCAGGGTGATAACTGAATCTCCTTTCCATCTGGGATCCAGCAGAGTCGGTGCATCCTCCTTCGGTCCTAAGTACAAATGTAAAGGGATGCATGATTAGACTGAAGTGTCTCTGTGATAGCCCCTCTGCCTTTCTGAGCACCAGAAGAAGACTGCAGAGGGGTGAAATCTCCTGCCATGTATACACAGGGCTGTAATTCACTATTGGAGGTGACCAGTTTGAGTGGCCAGCAACATGCATATAGCAAAGTCTCAGAGTTTGAGTGATTTTTACCACAGCATTTACTACTTTATCTTGCACTCTAATTTTTCTTCAGAAGAATGTGTATCCACCTTCCACATCAGCTTTTATGTGTATATGTTTCTATGGGAAAATGTTTGGTTTTTTGTTCACACTACTTAGAAAATCAGTGAGAATGTAGTAGATATTAAATGATTATTTAATAATTAATGAATAATGTCATGATATTAAAATGATTATTTCACAGCAGCTCAAATATTTTTTATCTTATTCCCAATCATATGCTTGGCTGTGGGACCAGGCAGGACAGAAACTCTATCTACAAGACTTATCAAAGGTTCCAATGGTTATATGTAGATCATTATAGTGTGTTTTTTATATTTTGTCTTCTACTAAATATTTTTGCGATAAAAGATTTTAAATTATTTTTCTACTAGTATGCAGCAAATTCTTTAGGATGAATAACAGGAGTATAAGTCAACTTGAAATAAAATGTTCCGTTATATTACCAAATTGCTATGTAGAGACTGTGACATACTAGATGCTATGAATGTATGAATAGAAAGTATTAGATTGAGTAGACACAGAGAGCAAAGTTTGTGAAACTTTTCAGGAGAACTTGATATTGAAAGGTGACACTAAACTTGTGTCTTTGTGTGACAGAGAGAGACAAAGACAAGCAGAAAGAGACCGAGAGACAGAGGAGGGCGGGAGAAGACAGAGAGAGACAAAGAGCCGGAGGGAGGAGGAGGTGGGTGAGAGAGAGAGAGATTCTCGTATCACGTAGAGGTAATACCTTTCAAAGCACATGTCAAATACTGTTTGTTAGTGATATGATCAGTGTTTGCCAAGCACGACTCTTTCAGAAGTGGTTTGCAAGGATCTCCATGTTGAGAAAAGCTGAGCTAACTAATCATTCAGAAAGTAGGTTATTACACTTGATACGTAAAGTTCAGCAATATGAATATTCTTTGCATCACTTGGACTTAGAAGATATCTCTGAATTAGTCATTCTGAGAAACAATAACACCCTGATATGTAACAGAGCAAGCAGTAAATGATTTGCCTAAACCCACGCAGGAAGTCACAGTATACAGGAATAGAATTAAAATTTCCTGATTTCCTTCCCTCTACTGATGCCACTAAATCATGTGTCAAACATTTCAGGTTTTCTTTCAAAGTCAATTGCAAATGTCTTGTAAAAGACTGGGCTTCTAAAATTTACCTTTTAAAGGAAGACTATTTTAAAACATTGCCACCATCGCATACCAAATTTACCCTAGATATTACATTGTCTTTCTCCCTATTTTATTTAAGAGCATGTTGCTAGAAAACAAACAACTCAGTTTTGTGTCATAAGCAGTGCTTTTACAAGTGCCTGCTTTTTTCCCCTCTCTGTGTGTCTCCTGCTTACTAACCTACCCTTGGAGCAAGAGAGGGAGGGCATTATGGGAAGGAGGGGCCTGATGTGTCACTTTTGAACAGCACAGAATGCTCTCTCCTATCCCAGTGTCAAGAAAAGAAACACTTCCATTTAGCCAATGAATGAGGGGAATAAAAGAGGCACACTTATAAATAATCCTGGGAAGAGTAAAAGACTGGAGAATAATTGAGGAATGATGGAGTGAATGGCTTCAACTTTGGCACAGTGAAGGTCTGTAGGTCAGTACTGCTCGCACAGAAAATTTGTAGTGTATTTAGTGCAGTCAAATTATACACCTTAAATTATTGCGGTGTTTAATATATATTATATATTGTAAATATACATGTATATATACATTGCAATAAAATACTGCAAGAGATTTATTTTCGAGTAAAGACATTGAAATACTAAATCAATTAAACCAATGATTACTGTTTTTCCCTTTAAGACAGTGTATTCCTGGACACCACACAACACACTTTAGCTTAAAACACAGTTGCAGCCAGGCGTTGGTGGTGCACGCCTTTAATCCCAGCACTTGGGAGGCAGAGGCAGGCAGATCTCTGTGAATTTGAGGCCTACAAAGCGAGTTCCAGGACAGCCTCCAAAACAATACAGAGAAACCCTGTCTCGAAAAACCAAAAAAAGAAAAAAAAAAGCACAATTGCAATCACAATTAGTTGTTTACGGAACCTTTTTTCATGACTAAAAAAGCACTGCCACCACAGCTTTAATGACCTTATTATAAAAATGGCATGACTGGAATCTTTTGCCTCAGCGATGAAATTAGTGATAAAATGTCGGCCTTAGCCATTGATGCATAAATTATTTCTGCCAGAGATTGGCAGAACATACAGAGACGTGTATTTAGTAGCATGACATGAATCTCACTGACAGTGATAGATGTAAAATGGATTCCTATTTGGCTTTGTGACCTATGGAACTGCGTATGAAATTAGCACTTCTGGCTGGGGCCGTAGCTCAGTGGTATCCCATTTGCCTCGTTGACACAGGCTCCTTGCTTAGATCCCTACCACCAGAGGAGATGTGACTTCACAGTCACATGCACTCGGCTCCCCTGAAGTCAGCAACAGCTCCCATTTCCATCAAGCTTTTGAGGAATGAAACAAAAATCATATACAGGAGGCAGATCCTCTCCCTTTGCCCATTTCAAACTTATGCACCTGGTTTCAATGATGGGTACCACATTTTGTCTCTGGACACTTTTCCTGTTGCTTGCTTAAGTGTGTGAGGCACTGTCTCCTTTAAGAACAACAGAAGCATTTGACAGGAGACTGCAATCTCTATTTTTCAGATGAACTCACAGCCACAAGGAGAGCTGACAAAAATGAGAGCTGGGGCTGAGCAGCTATGTTTCAAGCTTCCTCTCAGGCACTTCAAGTTTACTTGAAATGACCTGATGCAAACATATGATTTAGATCTGTAAGTCAGGACTACGGAAGCTCTGCCAGGCTGCATTATTTAGTCTTGAAAGTTCCATTATTTCCAGACATCCCAAAGGAAGAGGCTGCCAAAAAATGGGAGGAACAGGAGGCCCTCTCAAGAGGTATCCTGCCAGGGGATGACAAGACAGATATAATTTCAACACCATTCTAATTTGCTATGCTGACCAGAAGGGGGGGGGGGGGGGGAAGCCCAGCTTTCTCCAGCAACAGAATGCTTCACTACTGAGAACTCTATTTTAAGTCCTGTCAGACGCTGAACCCCCTCCCCTACAAACTTACATTTTCCAGGAGCCAAACACTACTGAAATTCTGAAAAGGTTTTGAGTGAGAAGACAGACAAGAAAGGGAAGACTGTCACACCAAGGATGTCTTTGAGAAAAAAAAAAACTTCTACTCTCATCTAAGAAAGTCATTTGTGAATTCACTTTTGTAATAAAATGAATATAAAATATTACCAGGGTAAACTTGAACCGATGGGAGGATACCAGAATGGTTTCTTAAGGGATTGTAAAATATTTCTGCTTCCCGGATTACTTTAAAACTTGTCTAAATTTCTTTTGTCTGCATTTGGGATGCTATAAATGATGACGAGACACCGGATTAGATAACCCACTCCCATGTGACTGCATTTTGTAAATCCACTTCGATGAAATAATTTACTCACCTTTTTGCTAAGTAATTAATTAGCACATAAGCTTAAATTACTTTCTGCCACAGTTATAGTTAATTTATAAAATTTTGGGCTTGTACATCAATATTGTAAAAATTATTTATTCATTTTAGCTTTTTCCACTTTTATTATTGTATATTGTTGGAGCTGACCCATGGGCTTCTTTGATTCATTTAATTATGTTTTTTGAACTTAAAATTTGAAATGTTCTGTGATTTTCATACATGGGTATTGTATTTACATCATTTCTGCTCCTTCTCCCTCCCCTCTTCCAATGTCTCCCAATTCCTTCTCACACTCATAGCCTCATATATAGAGATAGGAATATATATGTACATATATAATAACATACATAAAATCCTGCTGAGCTCCTTAACTTTGAAAGGAATGTTTCATTATGACATTTCCATACACATGTGCACAAATGCTTTGTTTTTTTCTTATGTCCTCTTTCTCTGGCCTCCACATCTTCCTCTTCGCCTCTTGTTAGTTCCCTGTCTCTCTCCAGACAGCAGTATTCCTTCTGGTCTCACGCCACGCACCCTTCCTCTAACGGTTTCTGCTTGTGCGAATGTTTCTGTCTCTGAGGCTGTGTGCGTTCCTTGTGTTTTATCCTTGGCTCTTTTCTTCTGTTTGTTGGTTTTGTTCTATTGTGGTTTGTTTGTTTTTAGATGATGATGATGATGATGGTGATGATGGTGATAATGATGCCTCTTTGGATATATTTAAGGAGCATGGGGGTTGTAGTGAAAAATCCCATTTAAGGGGTATCAAGGATTTATTAAGGTATGAAAAGGGGAAAATATGCTCACAAATACAGGATATGGTAAATCCAGTTTCAGCGTCCTTGGAAAGCTAGGGACTGATCCCACTCTGCTGCACATCACCTGACCTTGTCTTCACCACCCAAGAGAGTGGGAGCCCCTGCTCCCACATTGGCAGACTAGATGCATGACCTCATTCCTGTCAGAAAGCCCAAGGTCATGGGTGGAGTGAATACCCACTACAGAGGGTTATGAATTTGAGTGAGTGGCAAACTGGAGAGGTTCCGGGAGGACCAGTAGAAGGGGAAAAACCATAATCAAAATAGATTGTATTAAAAATCAACTTTTAATAAAAAAGATAAAGGCGAATTTGTAGTTCAATAAATATCAGTATGCTATATTGTTCTTTAAGAGACCACTTGATAGACATTTTACATCTCATGGAGTTTTTGTATTTTGTGAATTTTAAGGTTAATCATTAAAAAGATCACTAGGCACTCAAGG